CCACGTGGTGTCAACATTTGGAGAGGAATTCCGCATTGGGGGATTTTTAATCGTCCTTTGTTTCCAATGGAGGGGAGCGTCGAGCCAAATATGAAGGGAAATTATCTAGAGTATTCCTGGTGAATGCAGTCAGGGCGAGATATCCAAATGAAACACGATCTTTACATTCGTTTTTTAGTCAAATTACTTATTAATAATAATTATTGATGAAATTTTATCACACATTATTTTTAGTAAATTTGCCCTAGACAATCTTTGGACATTTTTTGAAACGGATAACTCACGTGGAATTTTAGTAATCTTATTATTCATCAATCATTCAAGCAGCATTGCAAATCAAGCAGCAAACAGCAGATTAAATTCATACAGCATTGCAAGTTGAGAAAAATAGTTGATAAATCATTTGAATGCAATATTTCATTATTGTGACAGATTTGAAAACTCAAATAATTGGAAATTCATTGATTATTTATCTTGAAAGACTTAATTTTATTAAATTTCAAGATGAAATTGAGAAGAAATTTAATTTGAAATCGCATTCAAGTTTAGACTTTTAAAATTTTGAATAGTTTAGATGGAAAAAGGAAAACGAAATTGCAGAGAACAATTGTGACCAGAATAAAACTTACTGGTGTATAGACAGAACGAATTATCGTCACGCGATGGTCATAACAAAGTTGTGATTGGGCGTGACAGTGTGACCCGCATCGATGATACATCACGTACACAACCACAACCACAAGCCTAGAGTTGTCTGGAAGGTGGTACAGCCCGTGGTGTTTGTTGGCATTGGCATTGAGCAGAAGGGCATGTGAGTCATACAGGCTCGAGTATCGTTCTAACTGCGCACAAACACTTCTGCCTCAAACAAAAAAAAAAAAACAAAATAGATTTTGATGCCGAAACTAACAGGGGGACCTTGAAATAACTGCCGAGGGGAAGAGAAATGTTACGCACTCTTGAGTCACTGGAGATTAGATTACCCGTTCCATGATGAAGGGAACTACTGACACGAGCCTATTTATATTATTCTCGGATGTAGTTCCTCAATTCGGCGGTTGAATCCATCCTCCTCTTTCCATCCGTACCAAGAGCCGCATTATTCTCCTTTTTCCTCAATTTTCTTCACCTTTCGTCAATTCACCTGAATGTTAAGATTCTCACCTTTTTTTCATTGCGTTGTAAATTTTCAATTGATTTTTCAGTTAAAGGTTAAATTTTTAATGAACTTTTTAATGAAAAATTCAGGCCCAAATTTTAGATGTATCGCAATTTTTTTGTCTGTTCTACGTTGCACCTTCTTTTGATACCATTCACGAATACGGAGCATTATATAGAGAAAGATGAAGAGACTTGAAGAATAGTTTCGTAGAAGCACTATTAACAATAGCTTGAAATTTACTCATAAAGTCATCTGAATTTCTAATGTCATATCGATTTGCAAATGAATTATTAGCAGAATATTCAACACATCAAATGCTAGGTGGACTAGGTCAGTGAAAAATTGTTGAAAATTTCAAGTGTAATTTTTCAACAGCGAGTAGAAGAGTATGAATAATGATTTGTTGCGCCTACGTATCGTCTGATGGCTGATCGTCTTGATCAGCCTGACCACGCACTGTCCATATCCACTGAGAATAGAATGAGAATAGAACAGTTAAAGGGGAACATGGAGATGGCTTTGGGCGATGTTTTGTTGAATTAGCATTAGCACAAGGCGAAGTAACGTACGAGGGGCCCCATTTCTTTTCTGTCTGATGTTCGTGCGGAGAGAGATGATGATAACATGGACCCGTCTGGGGGCCACTCGACTTATATATCAAACACCGGGCTCGTTATTACGTTATAAAAGCCCGGGTTATGTGCCAGAGGTGGAAATAATACGGATGTGGAGGCCAGGGCCTTTCTGGGAATTACTCCTGTGATCCGTTACTTTTTCCATTTTATACCAACAATACTTTTTCAAATTTTGCACTTAAATTTCTTCTGTGAATCCACTTCATTTTTCATGGAGTTAT